GAACTGTCTGGGCACGATGGCTTACACCTGTAATCCCAGCACTTTGGGAGGCCAAGGTGGGTGGATCACCTGAGGTTGGGAATTCGAGAACAGCCTGACCAACATAGAGAAACCCAGTCTCTCCAAAAAAAAAATATATATACAAAATTAACCGAGCGTGGTGCTGCATACCTCTAATGCCAACTACCCAGGAGGCTGAGGCAGGACAATTGCTTGAACCCGGGAGGCGGAGGTTGTGGTGAGCTGCGATGGCGTACTGCATTCCAGCCTGGGCAACAAAAGCAAAACTCTGTCTCAAAAAATAAAAATCTACATGCTGTTAGAACTAATAAAAGTTCATGAAGGTTGCTGGAGATAAGGTCAACATAGAAAACCAATAGTTTGCCTGAACATCAACACACAGATAAAATTCACAATACCATCTGTAAGTTGCCTTGTACTCTTTCTAACAAAATATTTATTCAGAAAGGAAATGACATTTTAAGGACAGATTAAAAAAAATCCAAATTATCAGTCATCATCTCCCATTCAACCTATAGCATTAATACAGTCCAAAAATAAAGTCCTACATAAAGTTTAGGAGGACTTTTGTGAAATTAGAAACCTGATTGAAAAATTCACCTGGAAAAACAAAGGTCCAAGAATTTTCAAGACTGTTTTGGAAATGAACAAGGAGGGTCATGCAATCAAATAACTAGACCTAAATTTTATAGCAGTAATAAATTCAAAGTGTGGTGTTGATTTAGGGATAGACGAGTAGATTAATAATAAAACAGAAAAGGGCCAGAAAAAGATTCAAGCACATACTGAAATTTAGTATAATAAAATAGTGAATGGGTTCCCAGATGGAAATAGTATATACTGTATATTACACCAGACCATACACAAGAGTAAATTCCAATTAAAGATCAAACTGAGAAAAGCTAACTTTAAAACTTTTAGAATAAAATATAGACTGCTTTTAATCTTAGATAGGATTTCTTAAATAAGACATAAAAATAACTCATAAAGGAAAAAATTATTTGACTAGATCAAAATGTTAACTTTAATAAAAGTTATTAACAAAGTTAAATATATATAATAGAATTAGTATCCAGAATATATAAAGCTTCTATAATGTAATAAATAGCTCCACTTAAAAATATGCAAAGGATAGGAACCAACAATTCATGGGTGAGAAAATCCCTATGTCTAGCAGGCAGGTTAAAAGGCACACAGCATTGCTAGTAATTGAGGAAAAGACAATTTTTTAAAAAAATAAAATTTCATGTCCATTGGAATAGTAACTTTTTAGTATGTATGTATTACCTGTATCATGTATAAATGGCATATATATGCAAGGTAATAAGAAAATAAGAACTATCATATACTGCTAATGGAAGTATAAATGGATGTAAGTGTTTGAGAGAGAAATTTGTTAATATAAAATAAAATAGAAAAAAACCATAAGCCCTAGAAAATTGACTTTGAGATTTATAGCTGAGAAATTCTTACAGGTATATACCAAGAGACATATACAAAGACACTTATGGCAGTACTGTTTGTAGAAAAACTGGAAGCTATATAATTACCTTTCAGTAGAGAAATAGATGAATAAATCTGATTATTTATTCAATGGGATAATTTTTAGTAGTTAAAATGAATGAACTTCATCTGAGTGTATCAACATGGATGGATCTCAAAAACAATGTTGAGTTTAAAAAATTGTAGAATATGTACAGTGTAATGGAACTTACATAAACATTTAAAAGCTTCACAGAACAGTGTATGTTGCTTATAGATTTTTGTTTAATACAAGGAACAACTCGAAGTAACAACTGGAAAGTTTACACATTGGATTAATGATAGTTGCCTTTGAGAAGGCAGGGAGGGGTATAAGACTAGGCAGAAGAAAAGGGGAACTTAAACTTCATCTATATTGTTCTATTATGTTTAAGTATAAAGTAAAAATAATCAAGGGGCTAAGTGATTCCAGGGCCCTCGGGATCTACCAGAAGGGCTTTCATTTTTCTTTATAACTCTATCCTTTAAAACAGCAGTCCCCAACCATTTTGGCACCAGGGACCAAATTCATAGAAGACAAAAAATTTTCCCATAGGTCGAGGGGTGGGGGAGATGGTTTGGGGATGATTCAAACTCATTACATTTATAGTACAGTGTATTTATGTTATTATTACATTGTAATAATATAATGAAATAATTATACAACTCACCATAATGTAGAATCAGTGGGAGTCCGCTTGTTTTTCTGCAGCTAGATAGTGGTCCCATCTGGGGTTGATGGGAGACAGTGACAGATCATTAGGCATGAGATTCTCATGAGGACAATGCAGCCTTGATCCCTCACACGTACAGTTCACAATAGGGTTCACAGGCTCCTATGAGAATCTAATGTTGCCACTGACGTGACAGGAGGCAGAGGTCAGGCAGTAATGCACTCGGCTGCTTACCTCCTGCTGTGTGACCCTGTTCCTAACAGGGATGAGAGTTGGGTACCCCTGCTTTAAAAGGCTATCATTTATATATATGTTTTAGAGCTTTACCAAGCTCTAAGGTAGATAAAATCATCCTCCTTAGATAACCATCCTACTTAGATAATCCCATAGAGTAGTCAGTTACTGGTACAATGAAAATATATCGAGATCTGTATGTTATAAAATAAACATTTCATTTTCATACTAATTTATATAAAAACTCATTCTTAAGTGGTCCCAGTCTTTACAAGGACTTTTCTCCATCTGGGGGACTGAAATTATTTTTCATTTATTCATTCAACAGATTTTATTGAACTCCTTACATGTACCAGATGATAACACAGCAATGAGCAAAACAGACAAAGCTTGCTATCATGAAGTTTAAATTCTAGTCAAGGAAGATAGCTGGTAAACAAATTAATAAAATTATAATATCACTGGTGATAAGTGCAATGATGAAAAATAAAGCAGGATGAGAGCTATAGAGAGTGATTGGGAGTATTTTATATGGGGAAGTCAGGGAAGAACTGTCTGTTGAAGATAACATAGAGCAAAGTAACAAAGAAAGTAAAAGGATAAGTTATATGGGAGAAAAGTCCTAGAGGCTGACAGAGCAAGCCAGTGCAGGGCCCGCTCCTGCCATGAAGCTGTCATGGAGGCTGCCTGGCTAGAGCTGAATGAATGAAGAATAGACTAGTATGAGATTAGACCAGAAAGACAGCAGAGGATTGGGTCATAGTGGGTTTTTATGGCCATGGTAAAGACTTTGGAGCAAAGGACTAATGTCATCTTCAAAAAGAATCACTCTGGCCACTTTGTTGGGAGTAGCCCACAGGGTGTGGTGGTTGGTGATAGGGCAAAGATAGAAGCAGAGAAACCAGTTAAAAGGTTGTTGTAACACCTTAGACAAGAAATAATGACTGTTTTGTTTTATTTTTTTGGAGACGGAGTCTCACTCTGTTGCCCAGACTGGAGTGCAGTGGCACTGTCTTGGCTCACTGCAAGCTCTGCCTCCCAGGTTCAAGCAATTCTCCTGCCTCAGCCTCCCAAGTAGCTGGGACTACAGGTGCATGCTGCCAGGCGCAGCTAATTTTTTGTATTTTTAGTAGAGACGGGGTTTTACCGTGTTGCCCAGGCTGTTCTCGAACTTCTTAGCCAAGGCAATCCACCTGCCTTGGCCTCCCAAAGTGCTAGGATTACAGGCATGAGCCACCACTCCTGGCCAATGATGACTGTTTAGACCAAGGTGATGAGAGATGGTTGGATCCTGGATACATTACTTTTTTAGCAGCAATTCTTAATCTATAGATTACTCTCAGATCTCAGAGGAAACTGAGAGTTATTGAGAAGAGAGAAAAATAGCACAAGTTAGGTGCCAATGAATTATAAGCTATATAAGTTATCCCAAAAGGAGATTTTAAAACCTCTAAAAATCTTTTGTAGGATTGTGGGAAGGGGAATTCAGTCCCTCTTAACCTACGGTTATTCTTTACTTTTTTTGCTCTCTTTAGTCGTTCTGAACTTTGCAATTAAACTGAATCCAGTTATATTTTATTGTTTAGAAAATGAAATTTGAAATCTGGGTACATGTATAAAATTTTGTTATTGATTGTGTTAAATGAGATTTAAATACTATTTTTTTTTTACATTATAGCTTAGCTGTATGACTACATACAAAGGCAAATAACCAATTTTGGTTTACATTTATTTGGCTTTATAACTTTTTACAGAAGACAATTTGGTTTTAACATCTTTTAAAGATTGAGTGTTAACTGTTCCTGAACACTTCGCACGATTTCTTTGCATTTTCACTTTCCAATGTGTTATAACAAAATCCAAAGGTTAGTTGTTTAAATTATTTTATACTGGCTTCATTTGTGTTATATATTAACAGTTCACTTATATTCAGTAGTTCAGTTAAATTGATGTATAGTGGCTTTATTGTATTGTTTATTTCTAAGTATTTTTCTGCCCTCCCAATTTATTACTATATTAGTTAATCTTTTATTATTGCTTTTATGTCTAGGGATTCTTGTTACTGGTGTGTGTGTGTGTGTGTGTGTGTGTGTGTTGAGACAGAGAGGGAGGAACAGAATCTTTTATGTATCAAGCCTTACCAGTTACAGATTGTAGTCCATCATTATGACTTTTAAGTGCTAAGCAAATTATTGTCCAGAGTGGCAGGCAGACAGTAAAAATCGTAATTATTGTAAGCTCTGTGCCATACTTGTAAATATAGTAATAAATCTGCACTTATATACAGTTAAAAATTTAATTGTTTATTCAAAACAAACTTAGGAAATATTTTGACCATGCTTTAAGATTAAATTTAGTAAACCGAATGGGAAATAGATTTTTGTTTTGCTTTGTGAAAAACACAGTTTTAGGCTACAATCCCTAATCTTAATAGGAAGCTGTATTTATTTTTTCATAGTAAGAAAGACTAAATTACCACATCTTTTTGAGAATATTGCAGATAGTTAATAAACTTTTCATTTTACTAACCTAACTTTCTCTTTCTTTTAGCAAAACTGTACAATCTAAAGTGGACTGCATTTTGGTAAGTGAAATAACTAATCTTAAAGTTCTTTTCCAATAAGGTTTTTACCATGATATAAAATATACAATTTTCAAGTAAATATTGATTTTAAATATAATCTAACTCCAGTGAATAAAATTTGATATTTTAATTACAGCCCCCTCAAGTGAATTGTTTATAAGCTACCTAGATACTTTCCTGTATCTCATCAATAATAAAATCACAATCTGAGGTTAATTACGTTTTTGAATCTTAACTGGCTCTTACTGAAAGATTGCTTAAACAAACAATTAAACTGGATATTTATTTTTCTATTCTAATAACTCTAAGAATTTGTTTAGAGAAAGTTTTTGAAGACGTTTAATGGGTTAGTTTTGTTGAGATAGCGTATTTTTCATGTTTTTGTTGGCACCCTGTAGGAATTAAGCCATAATAATCGTTTAAGTTTAGATTCTACTTATTAGAACTGTAAAAATTCGTTTTCAAAAACAGCTTTTAAGATGCTTAGTTGATGTGCTGGGTTGCCAGTTTTTAAGATTTAAAGCCACAATAATAGGTTATTAGATTGTGTTAGTATAGTAGTAGTTTTTTAGGTCTTCTTTTAAACGTATGAGGGAAGGAGCATTGCAGCTACTGGGACATCTGGAATACTGCTGATTTCTTTCATAAAATCTCTACTGAAAGGATACCCTCTAGGCTTTAGAATATACGAAGGCTCTGTACTATTAGATTCCCCAAATTGTCAGTATAGTTAATTCTCTTTCCCTACTTGTGAGTTGGGAAGTTCTCTTACCCAAGTTTTGGTCTTGCTTATAAGCTAACCTGACTATGTTGTTGTTGTTGGTGGTGGTGGTGGTCTGTTTCAGTGTCTGGTGCTGAAATAGTAAGATGTCTTATTAGCTTATATTATTATTAGCTTATTATCCTCTAGGAAGCTGAATACATAGGAATAGTTTATAGGAGAAGAGGAAGTTTAATCAGTTCTCTTCACTTTTCTAACCTAATAGCTAGCTAAAAGAAGACTTTGTGGAGGTGTTTTTCTTTTTCCTTTCACTTACTCTTCTTTTTTTGGCGGGGGAGGTGTTTCTGTGTGGTTTTTTGGTTTTTGAGGGGTTTTTTTTTTTCTCTTACAATAACCGTCTGCAGTAGGTAATCTTGTTACCTCCCTTTTACAAATGAAGACACCAATGCTCTGGCATTTCATTCAAAAAATTATTAAAATTATTGAACATCTTCTGTCTGCCAATTTTACTTACAAGGAATACAAAACAGAAAAGACATATTCCATGCCCTTAAGAAATTTAGTCTGTTATAGAGAGATATATTCAAGAGTACTCTTAAGAACTAGAAAAGTGGTGACTGGGGATGGAGGGAGTAACACATTGTCACCAACCCCCAGAGCATTTCCTCTGTCTTCCAACTCTTAAGAGTCTCATTTATGTGTCATTCTGTAATTATTTCATGATTACCATATACTAGACCCTGTTCTTGGTACCATAGTACAGTAGTAAGCAAGACAGACACAGTTCTTGTCTATCTATGGCTACCCACTTTCTTTGCAATACTTAAGATAACTTTGGAGGATTACTCACTTTTTTCTCTTCATTAAGAAGAAGCAGAAGACTGGTATAAATTATAAAATATGACATTTATAAAATACTAAATAAGAACAAAACTTTTTAAAGTCTTTTAAGGGTTCAGAAGTTAAAATATGAACACTTTTGTGTTTATATTTAAGTTTTAGAATATATGTAAATTTTTACTCAGTAATTTAAAAATACTGTGTTAGGTCCTGGACATACAGTGATAAACAAGATACTAAGATCTCTCCTGTCATGATCCTTTTATTTTATTGGGTGAGGTAGACATTAAACAAGTGAGCAAATAATTAAGCATTACAATTCAGATAACGATAAATGATATTCCACAATTTTTAAAAGGGACAGGGAGGCAAGCGATGGTGGGTAAGGTAACCTCAGATAGGGTGGCCAGGAAAAGTTTCTCTGAGGAGATGACATTTGAGTGCCAACCTGAGTAGTAAGAAGCCAGCCTTGAGTCATGATCTCCTGGTGACACACACGAGGTAGAAGGAACAGTAGGTACAAAAAATCTGAAGCTGGGAATGCGTTTGGGGTATTTCAAGAATGTAGGATCCCAGTGTGCTGGAACTTATGGAAGGAAGTAGAGAATGATAGAAAAGTTCATTTATTACATATTTAGTCATGGCAGGTAGTATCCTACGTGCATGGAAAGCTGATTAGAGGATTTTATGCAGAAAGTAGTGCAATCTAGCTTTGTTTTTTCTTTTTGTTTTTGTTTTTAATACCCTGGCTCTTGTTGGAACAGTGGATTGTGTGGTAGGGGAGGATATGAGTAGAATCAGGAAAACTGGTTAGGCTATTGTAGAAGTCCAGTAGATAATTCAAGGCTCTTGCTCAGATGATAGTAATGGAAGATTTTTTTTTTTTAAGTAGAGGGGTTTAAGGCATTTTTGGATATAAAATTACTAGGTCTTGCTTGCTGATAGATGCAATGTGGAGGGGAAACAGAAGAGTCAAGGATGATCCCTTTCAGTCTAAAGCAGCTCTTCTAGTATTTATTATACCACAGGTTTGTGTGTAATGAATTTTCTTAGTCTGTGTTGATCTATGAATGTCTTTATTTTGCCTTCTGTTTTAAAAGATAGTTTTGCTGGAAATAGAATGTCTGGTTTACAGTTTTGTTTGCTTGTTTTTTCTTTCTTTTTTTTATTTATTATTATTATTATACTTTAAGTTCTAGGGTACATGTGCATAACGTGCAGGTTTGTTACATATGTATACTTGTGCCATGTTGCTGTGCTGCTGTCTCTTATACACATCTAGATGTGTATAAGAGACAGCCTTAAATGTAAATGGACTAAATGCTCCAATTAAAAGACACAGACTGGCAAACTGGATAAAGAGTCAAGACCCATCAGTCTACTGTATTCAGGAGTCCCATCTCACATGCAGAGACATACATAGGCTCAAAATAAAGGGATGGAGGAAGATTTACCAAGCAAATAGAGAACAAAAAAAAGCAGGGGTTGCAATGCTTGTTTTTTCTTTGATTGTTTTGAATATGCTGTTCTATTGCCTTTTGGATATCAGCCGTTAATTATATTAATATCTTCCTGTACTTAAGTTTTCTTTTGTTGGTATTAAGATTTATCCCAGATTCATTCTGTCACTCATTCACTTCTCCTGTCTCTCTGACTTTTAACAGTTTGACTGTGTATATAGTGGATCACTTTATGTTTGTCCTACTTGGGCTTTGTTGAGCTCACATAGATTAGTTAGATTTGGGATGTTTTCAGCCATTATCTTTCCATATACTTTTTCAGTCCCTTGATTCTCTCCTCCCCTTCTAAAATGCCCATTTCACATATGTTGAAATGATTGATATTATTATTCTCTTCTCTCTGAAGCTCTATTTACTTTTTTCTCTGATTACCTTTATCTGTGCTCTAGTTTCTCTATTAAGATTTCCTGTTGTCTGACTCATTGTCATTGTGTTTTTCTTTGTGTGTTTAAACATAGGCTGCCTCATCCTAGCAACACTACTATTCTAACCATGTGGGATAGGTCATGGTAGCAGCCATAAGCAAGAATAATAAAGACTGTCATAGTTACTACTACCTAAAGTCAGTAGTCATTAATGACTAAACACTTCCCAATATGTTGTTTGCCTGTAGTTGGTTTCGAGAGCCTACTTTCTGACCATTTTGTGTCATTTTATAGTTGTTGGTAGGGAGGATTGACCAACCTCTTTACTTCCTTTTCCAGATATCTCAGTCTTCTCATAAAGATTTTATTATGTTTTCTTCTAGAAGTTTTATAGTCGTAGTGTTTTTCTTTTAGATGTTTGAACCATTTTGTGTTAAATTTGTGTTTGCTTTAAGTTGAACTTCAAGTATTATTTTTTATAATATGGATGGATATCCAGTTGTCCAGCACCATTTATTGAAAAGTCTACCCGTCCCCAGTCACCTCCTGTATCAAAAATCATTTTATGTAGGTCTTTCTGTAGACTCTTATTTTCCATTGATTGCTGTGTCTGCCTTTATGACATCACTACACTGTCTTGTTTACTGTGCTTTATAGAAAGTCTTGATATCAGATAATATGAATGGTTCAGATTTTTTTTGGCACTTCCATAACAATTCCAGAGTTACTTTGTCAATTTTTACTTTTAAAAAAAGTTGTATTTGGATTTTTATTGGGATTACATCGAATTTATAGATCAATTTGGGGACTATTGATGTCTTATTAACAAATTTTAATTCATGAGCTTAGTGTATCTCCATTTCAGTTGGTTCTTCTATAATATCTTTCAGTGTGTTTTGTTATTTTCTGTGTATAGGTTTTATACACATTTTATTAAAACTAAAGTTTTTAGATGCTACTGAGTGTGGCATTTAAAAATTTCTGTTATCCATTGTTTTATTGCTAATAGTTATAGTTATCTAGTAACCTTCAAACTTGCTAAATTCACCTATTAAATCTAGGAGCTTTTATGTAGCCTTTAAGATTTTCTACCCACTCAATCATATTATCTACGAATACCAATAATTCTCATTTCTTCTTAATTTATATGCCAGTTTCTTTTTCTCACCTTATTGTACTGCTAGGACCTCTGGGAGATAGATGAATAGAAATGTGAGAGTGAATTTCCTTGCCTTGTTCCTGATCTTAAGGAAAAAAACAGTGATTCATTCACCATATAATATGAAGTTAACGTTAGCTTGTTCATGGACACTCTTCGTCAGGTTAAACATGTTACTTTTTGTTTCTGTTTTTCTAAGAGGGTTTTTTTTTTTTTTTTTTTTTTTTTTTTTCCCAATCATAGTTACATGTGGATTCTTTCATTGGACCGAGTCTGGCTCTGTCACCAGGCTGGAGTGCAGTGGCGCTATCTCAGCTCACTGCAACCTCCGTCTCCCAGGTTCAAGCGATTCTCCTTCCTCAGCCTCCCAAGTAGCTGGGACTACAGGCGTGTGC